CTCCCCCTCCCCCAGCGTGACTTACCATCCGATCCCTGGATCCCTTCCTGGCATTCGTTGCAGGTATATTTGGCCACATTGTAGAACTGGCTGCTGGAGCAATTCCCAGGCTGGACGAAGGAGATGGAGGTGGACTGGGACAGGCAGAGGGCAGGCAGCAGCAGCAGGCAGTACAGAGGGGTCAGTGCTGAACGCAGCATGGTATGCTCTGGGCTGCAGCAGCAGAGGATCTCCCCATCTAAGCTCAGCAGGGACACCGGTGACTATGGCAACACAAAGCAACAGTTCACACTGCAACAAGGACCCGTCCTACTGGACAGGACGGGTAACTGACGGCACAGCGACACCCAGTGCACACTGCGGTCATGTGACCAACGCACACACCTCCCTCTACAAAAGCACATTGACTTCCCAGGGAATGCTGGGACTTTTAGTAGGAAACATCTGCCGTGTGTTGTGATCGATATTCTGTAAATATTTAATCAAACAAAACATTTATTTTATATATTATTTTGAAGGAAATGTATCATTGTTTCTATTTTTTTTTTGCACTGTTGAAACAATGTCCAGTGACCTCAGCGAAGCTGGCCCCCCTACAATCAGAGCTCAGCGTAGCTGGCCCCCCTACAATCAGAGCTCAGCGAAGCTGGCCCCCCTACAATCAGAGCTCAGCGTAGCTGGCCCCCCTACAATCAGAGCTCAGCGTAGCTGGCCCCCCTACAATCAGAGCTCAGCGTAGCTGGCCCCCCTACAATCAGAGCTCAGCGTAGCTGGCCCCCCTACAATCAGAGCTCAGCGTAGCTGGCCCCCCTACAATCAGAGCTCAGCGTAGCTGGCCCCCCTACAATCAGAGCTCAGCGTAGCTGGCCCCCCTACAATCAGAGCTCAGCGTAGCTGGCCCCCCTACAATCAGAGCTCAGCGTAGCTGGCCCCCCTACAATCAGAGCTCAGCGTAGCTGGCCCCCCTACAATCAGAGCTCAGCGTAGCTGGCCCCCCTACAATCAGAGCTCAGCGTAGCTGGCCCCCCTACAATCAGAGCTCAGCGTAGCTGGCCCCCCTACAATCAGAGCTCAGCGTAGCTGGCCCCCCTACAATCAGAGCTCAGCGTAGCTGGCCCCCCTACAATCAGAGCTCAGCGCAGCTGGCCCCCCTACAATCAGAGCTCAGCGAAGCTGGCCCCCCTACAATCGGAGCTCAGCTCAGCTGGCCCCCCTACAATCAGAGCTCAGCGCAGCTGGCCCCCCTACACTCGGAGTTCAGCGCATCTGGCCCCCCTACAACCAGAGCTCAGCTAAGCTGGCCCCCCTACAATCGGAGCTCAGCTCAGCTGGCCCCCTACAATCAGAGCTCAGCAAAGCTGGCCCCCCTACAATCAGAGCTCAGCAAAGCTGGCCCCCCTACAGAGCCCAGGGAAGCTGGCCCCCCTACAATCAGAGCTCAGCGTAGCTGGCCCTCCTACAATCAGAGCTCAGCGTAGCTGGCCCCCCTACAATCAGAGCTCAGCGTAGCTGGCTCCCCTACAATCAGAGCTCAGCGTAGCTGGCCCCCCTACAATCAGAGCTCAGCTAAGCTGGCCCCCCTACAATCAGAGCTCAGCGCAGCTGGCCCCCCTACAATCAGAGCTCAGCGGAGCGGGCCCCCCTACAATCAGAGCTCAGCGGAGCTGGCCCCCCTACAATCAGAGCTCAGCGGAGCTGGCCCCCCTACAATCAGAGCTCAGCGAAGCTGGCCCCCCTACAATCGGCGCAGGTAAAGACTCCAGTGCGTTTCCTTAGTGCTACTTTTGTGCTACTTTTTACTGTGACTATTTTTAAGATAATCGCAATTGTTTTCCGGTGTAATGGATTCTGACAGATCAGATTCCTAATTTCCGGGTTTAACCCGCCAATGATATTAAAACCCGACGTTGATTGAATGAAATAAAATCCTTCCACGAGTATTCGTGTCTCATTTGTGTGTTTTATTTCACTTCATTGAAATCATCTCTATTCAGGAAGAGACGCCATCTTTATATCACCCGGCATCATCCTTTCCCTTCTAGAACCGACTAGAACTTTATATTAAAGATCTCTCTAACATTTTCCTCATAAACTTTCCCCGGGCTCATTACCTTTTGTTGTCTCTATTTTGTATCCATTTTACTTAAACGTTTCTACATCTTCTATTCTTCCAATTGTTAACTTTGTTTCTTTTTCATTTCCTATCTTCCCTCCTCGGCATCTCTTCCTACTTCTAAATTCCTTGCCCATAACTCAACATGTTTCACCTCTTTTCATGGCTTCTTCAGGGTACAATGTGCTCAGTAGTGCTCTTTGTTACATAGTACTTGAGGTTGAATAAAGACATCAGTCCATCAAGTCCAACCTATTAGGATCTCATGCTTAGGAGTACCTGTACCCCTGTATATTACCTGTACCCCTGTATATTACCTGTACCCCTGTATGTTACCTGTACCCCTGTATATTACGGTCCCTTAGGAAATCGTCCAAAAGTTTATTGAACAATTCTACACTCTTAGCTGAAATCACCGCCTGTGGCAGCGAGTTCCAGACCCTAACCGCTCTTACTGCGAAGAACCCCCTTCGCCCCTTGTGCTGGAATTTTTTTTCCACCAATTATTAGACTTGTGCGCCGTCAAAAAATTTGTTCCGTTTCGTAATATCCATTATTTCGTATTTCGTAATTCGTATCCGAAACTCAATTCGGATTCGTACAAAATGCGGATTTTCGTTAGTTTCGGCACATTTTCGTAACTTTAAGAACATTCGTTATGATGAAGTTAAAAAGCAAAAATACCTTTGTTAATATTGGAGTCGATGTGGTAGTTGTTTTTTTTAAATCCGAAAAACGAATTCCGTTAACGGATTCCGTATCCGAATTCCGTATTTCGGACTTTAAAAAAAACTACCATCAACTCCAATATAAATGTACTTTGCTTTTTACCTTCAATATATAACGAAGGTCCGTAACGGAACGAAAATACGTCAACGGAATTTCGTATTTCCTGCCTGTGTATTTGTAATGCGACTCTCAGCAGCAGCGGATCCGTATTTCGGATAAAAAAAAAAAATCTTGTCATGTTGTTCAACCTCATTTACAGGGGAAATATTAGTTCCCGTTTCAAAGAAATTCGGATCCGAAATTCGTTAACGGAATTTCGTATATGATTCGGAAACTGCCATTCGGATTTCGTATGCTCCAAAATTCGGAGTTTCAGGAAAATTCGTACGAATTTCGATTCGTAACGAAACGAATCGCACATGTTTACCAATTTTAGGTGGTGGCTTCTAGTTTTTGTAATGGAGTTAATTTTAAAGAGGTTGTTGCTGTCCCCATTGAACATCTTGTACATGAAAATCATATCCCCCCTTAATCTCCTCACCTCCAACGTGAACATGTTTAAATTCAGTAGCCTCGTCTCATAGCTCTGGTCCTCCATTCCCCTAATTAGTTTGGTTGCCCTCCGCTGGACTCTCTCCAGATCAAGGACATCTTTTCTTAGTACTGGTGACCAGAACTGGACCGCATACTCCAGGAGGGGCCGAACCAATGATTGATAAATTATAGACTTATAGACTTGTCTTTGTGCTTGAACATACAAATCTTTAGTTAATGTTGCGAGCTGATCGTAAATATTTAGTTTTCTCATTTATTGAAAAATGGAATGTAAAGTGCATCCAAAGCCAAATCTTTTCTTTTTCATTTTGGATTGGAGCACAGTAGGGTTATCGCCATCTGTTTGCCACCAGTGTCCCATTGGGGCAGATTTTCTTCTAGTTCCTTATTGGAAAACTCCCCCTTCATTCCTGTCCTGGTGACAACTCCTAATGATTTCCCACCACTTCCTGTTTCAGAGACAATGAGTCACCAGGAAAAACGAGCTTCCCGGATTTAAAGAACTGAAATCTAATGAACAAAAGAGGCGGACAGGATGGGGAGGAAAGTACTAGATGACACTCCAGGATATGAGATAGGCTCTGTCTGACTTGCTGCAGCTTCTAAAGCACATTGTGAGAAGCTCCCAGTGTACAGTGACATCAGAGGAAGAGGAGAGGAGCCGGTACAACTGTGCAAGGCTGAAGGGAAGGACGGAGGTCAGATATAAGACTGAAGGGGAGGACAGAGGCCAGATAGAAGACTGAAGGGAAGGACGGAGGTCAGATAGAAGACTGAAGGGAAGGACGGAGGTCAGATAGAAGACTGAAGGGGAGGACAGAGGTCAGATAGAAGACTGAAGGGGAGGACAGAGGTCAGATAGAAGACTGAAGGGAAGGACTGAGGGCAGATAGAAGACTGAAGGGGAGGACGGGGGTCAGATGCAAGACTGAAAGGAGGGACAGCGGTAACATAGAAGACTGAAAGGAGGGACGGCGGTCACATAGAAGACTGAAGTAAAGGACATTAGCCGGGCCTTAGATCTCTTCTCCCTATAGAATATACACTACAGTTCAACACCGCCACCTCCTATGTCAGTGATCTGTATCCTGGAGGAAGAGGTGGTGACGTCCAGCGGTGATGCAGTTAATTAAAAACCTTTATCAATAGACTTCTTATTGTGACCTATAATTAGATCGGATGTCATGAGCTAAGTGGGCACCAGGTGGCAGTATAATCCAACATGTGAATTTGGTGGTCAGAGCTCATAATAAAACTTCCATCCATAGCACTGAAACCAAACACATAAAACATAAGCCGAGCCTCTTACCTGTCCGTCTTCTGGTTTTGGACGCAGCGATGGGCAGAGAAGGTGCTGACCCGACACTGTTTTTTGGGTTTATTGTTCAGATCACAATGAAGAGAAAATTTGAGTAAAGAGAAATGACGGAATCTTTATATTGTTTTATAGATTTATTCGAAAGACGATCATTTAATAAGGGGTGCTCTGATATGAAAGGGGTGCTCTGATGGAAAAAGTGGCTCCTGAGTGGAAGGTCAGACTCTAGTGAACACCATTGTTTATGTTTTTACATGGGGTCTTCCTGGATTTTGGAGGAACAAGTTTTTACATTTTACACCGGGGTGCCTTGAGATTTTGCACAATTCTAAAGAGTGCCGTGACTGAGAACGGTCAGAAAATGCCGGTTGAACATATTTACATGATTTTTTTAGGATATTTTAGATCTTCTTGGCGTTATTTTGCACCATCTTGTTTCTCAGCCCTGATAAAAGGGGGAATTTTGAGCCCGTCAAACGTGTTTTCTAACCTCCTGTTTTGTGCCATAAAGATTCAATGAGACTCCTTTTTGATTTGCTGCACCCT